TTCCTTTTTTTTTTTTTTTTTTGCATTGGGTTCAGACCTATAATTAGACTTTTTGATGTAAGTGTTGCTTTTTATCTCATAGGTCCGTAAAGATGGCTGCTAATAACCTACCAACAACCGTTGACAAGGAGCAGGTTCTTTACTTTTGTGATGCGTTTATCATTTAGTCTTTGTTTTTCTGTAAGGAAAAATGCTTCCTGTGTGATTATCACACATTTGTTAGTAATTCCAGCTTCCAAATTTCAAAATACCGTCAGACCTCTCTATCACAGCATCACTATATAACTACCATTCACTACAAAAGCCAAGTTTCTTTGGAACTAATTTCCATGCTATGTTATAATATATGTTATTTATAACAGTACTTCGCTATAACAACCAAAAAAATCTGGAACAAACAAGGCTGTTATAGAGAGGTTTGACTGTATTTGCGTTCTATGTAAGACGTTGAATGCAGAACTTTTCAAGCTAAAATGTTTCTGGTTCTTACACCCCCTCACCTCTTTCCTTATGTATGCAGATTTTTGGCATGGCTGAGAAGGAGATGGAGTACAGGGTTGAATTATTTAACAAGTAAGGTGTTCCAAATTGTAACCATTTCAATCATAAGTCTTAACCTAATAGCACAATGAAATCTTCTTGGAGTAAAAAAATTAAAAGATTTGGTGATTATCCATATGATTCAGTTTTCCTTCTAATTCCGCTCCAATATTGTTGCTTAGTTACTTCCATTGAAGGCATGTGTACAAAATTTCTGAACTTACATACATTGATGTTTGTTGTTATGATCTAGGCTCACTCAAACATGCTTCAACAAGTGTGTCGAGAGAAAGTACAAGGACCCTGAGCTAAATATAGGCGAAAATAGCTGCATCGATCGTTGTGTATCAAAATATTGGCAGGTAAATGATTCGATGATTTCATTCTAATACTTTTTTTGTTTCCTTTTGGTCTGAGGATAAGTGATCTGGTTGCAGTTAAATGAACTGTAATGTATTAGTTTTGAAATTATAGCTGCCTTTTCACTCAAAAAGCAGCGGAAACTATGACTATTTTCTTCCTTACATTTTGTGTATCATGCGCTTTTCCAGGAACTCTATCAGTTTCTAGGTTTAGATAACAGTTCAGATAGTGACCTTATAATAAAAAAAACCCAGTTCATATACTAATTTTTTCGGGGCTGTCTGGTAGTTGTGGACTAAAGCAAACAAGTATTATGTTTTTCATCTAAACAAAGCACTCATACTGAGTGGTAATTCTTACCATTTTAGCATGGGAGTTAGGGTAAAGCCGTAAAGGTCACTGGATGGGGTCACCAGAGGTTGGGGAAAGGGACAGGGTAGATAGCCTCAATGAGTACTTTAGTCAATATACAATGGATTTATGTAGGGGTGTACATAGGTCGGGTTGGTTCGGATTTTTCAATTATCAAACCAAACCAATGGTGTCGGGTTTTTAAATTTATAAACCAAACCAAACCAACAAAGTCGGCTTTTTCATTCTCGGTTTTTCTAGGGTTTTTCGGGTTTTTTCGGATTTTCTTTCGGTAAAGTCTTCATAGCATAAAATATGTAACTTGTGCTCCAAATATTTCTTAAGTCCTAGTAAAACATAACTATATAATGTATTTTCCAAGAAACTAACACAATAATATGAGATAAGTCATAGCATTATACTAAAGTATTCAATAACAAAGATAAAATAATAAAATTACATAAAACAAATATTGCTAATTAATAAGCCATAATAAAAATTAACATAATCTAAAAATACTATATAGGTCATGCTAAAGTAAGTATAGCTAATAAATACTAATATTAATTACATAACTAAGCACTAAAGAAAAAGATAAACTAAGCGATGCATTTTCATTATAAACCAATGTAAAACTAAAATAATTATCCAACACTATCGTCATTCCTAGTATTAAATTGAATTTCTTTTGTTAGCATTAATATTTATTTGAACTTTGTTTGAGTTACTACATTTATGGGCTTTAAAATTGATTTACCATTATTTCAAGTCTAAACTTGAAATAATACATTAAAAGATAAAATTATGAAAAAGTTTAAGAAATATTTATAAATTAAATTACAATAAATATTTATATGTATAAAATATTTTTAAAAATTATATAAATGTACTATCAGGTTGGTTTAGTTTCAGTTTGACTTTTTTTAGTTAAAACCAAACCAAGCCAATTATGGTCAGGTTTTATTTTTCAATACCAAACCAAATCAAACCAAACCACATCGGATTTTTTTTTCCGGTTTGACTCGGATTGTCGGTTTAGTGCGGTTTATCGGTTTTCTTTGTACACCCCTAGATTTAGGAAAAGTTCCATTTTATAAAGTCTAAGGGGTGTGTGTGATACTCATGCTAGTTTAATATAGAAATTTATATCCTGTTTGGTCGTGCTTCTAAAATCAACTTATTTTGAAAGTGAGAAGCAATTTGTGTTTGGCTAATCAATTTGTAAAGCACTTTTGAGGAGCAATTAGTGTTTGGCCAAGCTTTAAAAAGTGCTTCTAAGTGTAATTTTCTCAAAAGTATTTTTGGGTAGAAGCTAGTTTTTTTGCTTCTCAAAAACTGCTTATGCTTTTACTCAAAAGTACTTTTTTTTTTCTTCTAAAAACTTGGCAAAACACCATAACTTTGGAAAAAGTACTTTTGGCCAAAAAGAAGTACGGCCAAATAGGCTATTAGTACATTCATTTTAGTCCATGAAAGCTGATTAAGACTTGAGATTACATATTGCAAGGCAAAGAGTACTATGTCTCCAAAGTTAAGTAAAATAATTGGACTCTAGTTTGTGGCCAAAAGAGTTTTTTTTTCCTTATGTTTTGAAATGATAGCTAGTTGGTAGAAGAAGTTTGAAAATAGGTAATTGAATAGTTTAGTGGATTCCGGACCAGTTAATTAAGACTTAGGGGTGGCAATTGGGCAGTTTACTTCGATATTGTGCAAGTTAAAATGGGCTGAATCAACAAGTGGATCATGACCCAACCTGCCAAAAGTTTATTTGGACCTAAATGGGTTGGGCACAATTTGACCTTTTTGTTCATTCTTTTTGGAGGCATCAATTAAGATTCTCAACCTGCCCTCAACCAATCTTGTTAGTAAAATCAACAGCAAATACTTAATTTTTTCATACCTATTTCTCTTATTTATGTAACATTTTTTATAATTCCCTCGCACTTAATTGATGTATTTAATCTTAGCACAGAACTGAAGAAACATTATGAAAATAATAGTCTCACCAATAATGTTGAGACTTCAAAGCTTTTTAAAAATTGTAGAAATGTTAATTAGCTTTTATTAGTTACTACCAATCTACCATCACTTAACATTTAGTATGTGGCTTACTAGTTACAACAAACAAGCTTAGATATAATCACTTCCAGGAAACTAATACGTGGGACACACTTATCCTTCAAGAAAGAGAATTGAAAACAATTTTTCATATTCGTAAATAACTTGAAAATAATAATGAACAAAAAGTAGAAAGAAAACTAGAATATGACTTTTGGAAGTATTTCAATTGGCAATTGTGTGGGGTTATAAATCATATGCGGGTATAGATCAGGAATAGAACTGAAGAGCAAGGGTTGACCTCGTTTTATTATCGGATTAGGCGTGTGTGTAGGGGACTATTTACCTACTAATGCCTAGCCCAAGGGTGAAGTTAGGGCACGAGTCAGTATTGGACATTTCCACGGGTTAATTCAGCTACTGTTTTCTAATGGGTTACTCTGGGCATAGCCCAAATAAGTAGACCAACAAAACACATTTTGTCCGTCCGGTTAAATCTTTGTCAGGTTGGGTGAGTTATATATTATTGGGTCAATTTCGCCACTCAATTGAGATGATGATGCTTGGGCTAATAGAGAGTTAGAGGATGTCGTTTCATTATTTTGGAAGTGTTTTTTTTTTTTAAATCTAGGGGTTGCAAATTTGGCCAGAAGTCTATAACCCGCCCCAAAATTTAATGGATTGGGTAAAATGTATTTTGCTGGTGGGATGATTTGGGCTATGCCCAAAATAACCCATAAGAAAAGAGTAGCCCAAGTTGATCCGTGAAGATGTCCAAATTGGCCTATGTGATGCCTAAATCAAGATGTGGCTCGCAAGCAGATAATCGACTTCCAAAAATCTATATATCCTATTGCGCTAATTGTATGAGGAACGATTTGTCTCTTGTGAATATCAAGATTTAGTTGATGTGTATTTTTTGATATTTTGGGAAAATAATCTTCAATGCGATAACAATAATTAGTGTTTAATCGTGCTTTGGTGCAAATACTATTGTCATTGGCCCAAAGTAGTTGAATATTAAACTAAAATTTTAAAAGGAGCTTAATGTCAATTTAGTATCTATATCTATCTATTTCTATGTAGTATATATCATTATATTATTGGAGAGTAGTGAACAAGGGTCTTAAGAGCATGTTTCGCTTAGTTGATTTAATGTAGTTGATATTTGATAAGCATTAGGTGTTGAAAAACACTTTTAAGTGCTGAAGCTTATTTATTAAATAATCAGTTACGTGTTTGGATAAAAGTGCTGAAATGATAATAAGCAACTGAAGTATTTGGTAGAAATCTCCTCTAATGTAGGTGCACCTAGTTTGGAATTATTTAGGACTTGAATGAATATAATGTAGGCTTTTAAATAGGGGTAGGATAGAAATATGGGTAATAAGTGATTACGATCTTCCTAAGCACTATAGAATTCAACACTCACCTTCTTTTCTTTTCACAATGTTCACCCTTTGCTTATTTTTCAAACTTTGTCGTCCCTTTATTTCGCAACTCCTTTTTTCTGTGAAGACCTGAAGCACTTGGCTACGAAGGCTGAATTTTTGCTCCTTCAGTTCCTTCTTCAGTTTTGGCCTTTGCTCAATTTTATGCAAGTGTTTGATGCTATTCCATATTTTATGCTCTCACATCAAACCATGGTTAGTCAATTAGTCACAGTAAATGGGGCATAAATCCATCAAAAAGCATAAGAGAAGCTGGTAAAAATACCAATCGCTGCTAGCAATATAAATCACACTACTTTATAGAGAGTTAGAGGATGTCGTTTCATTATTTTGGAAGTGTTTTTTTTTTTTAAATCTAGGGGTTGCAAATTTGGCCAGAAGTCTATAACCCGCCCCAAAATTTAATGGATTGGGTAAAATGTATTTTGCTGGTGGGATGATTTGGGCTATGCCCAAAATAACCCATAAGAAAAGAGTAGCCCAAGTTGATCCGTGAAGATGTCCAAATTGGCCTATGTGATGCCTAAATCAAGATGTGGCTCGCAAGCAGATAATCGACTTCCAAAAATCTATATATCCTATTGCGCTAATTGTATGAGGAACGATTTGTCTCTTGTGAATATCAAGATTTAGTTGATGTGTATTTTTTGATATTTTGGGAAAATAATCTTCAATGCGATAACAATAATTAGTGTTTAATCGTGCTTTGGTGCAAATACTATTGTCATTGGCCCAAAGTAGTTGAATATTAAACTAAAATTTTAAAAGGAGCTTAATGTCAATTTAGTATCTATATCTATCTATTTCTATGTAGTATATATCATTATATTATTGGAGAGTAGTGAACAAGGGTCTTAAGAGCATGTTTCGCTTAGTTGATTTAATGTAGTTGATATTTGATAAGCATTAGGTGTTGAAAAACACTTTTAAGTGCTGAAGCTTATTTATTAAATAATCAGTTACGTGTTTGGATAAAAGTGCTGAAATGATAATAAGCAACTGAAGTATTTGGTAGAAATCTCCTCTAATGTAGGTGCACCTAGTTTGGAATTATTTAGGACTTGAATGAATATAATGTAGGCTTTTAAATAGGGGTAGGATAGAAATATGGGTAATAAGTGATTACGATCTTCCTAAGCACTATAGAATTCAACACTCACCTTCTTTTCTTTTCACAATGTTCACCCTTTGCTTATTTTTCAAACTTTGTCGTCCCTTTATTTCGCAACTCCTTTTTTCTGTGAAGACCTGAAGCACTTGGCTACGAAGGCTGAATTTTTGCTCCTTCAGTTCCTTCTTCAGTTTTGGCCTTTGCTCAATTTTATGCAAGTGTTTGATGCTATTCCATATTTTATGCTCTCACATCAAACCATGGTTAGTCAATTAGTCACAGTAAATGGGGCATAAATCCATCAAAAAGCATAAGAGAAGCTGGTAAAAATACCAATCGCTGCTAGCAATATAAATCACACTACTTTATAGAGAGTTAGAGGATGTCGTTTCATTATTTTGGAAGTGTTTTTTTTTTTTAAATCTAGGGGTTGCAAATTTGGCCAGAAGTCTATAACCCGCCCCAAAATTTAATGGATTGGGTAAAATGTATTTTGCTGGTGGGATGATTTGGGCTATGCCCAAAATAACCCATAAGAAAAGAGTAGCCCAAGTTGATCCGTGAAGATGTCCAAATTGGCCTATGTGATGCCTAAATCAAGATGTGGCTCGCAAGCAGATAATCGACTTCCAAAAATCTATATATCCTATTGCGCTAATTGTATGAGGAACGATTTGTCTCTTGTGAATATCAAGATTTAGTTGATGTGTATTTTTTGATATTTTGGGAAAATAATCTTCAATGCGATAACAATAATTAGTGTTTAATCGTGCTTTGGTGCAAATACTATTGTCATTGGCCCAAAGTAGTTGAATATTAAACTAAAATTTTAAAAGGAGCTTAATGTCAATTTAGTATCTATATCTATCTATTTCTATGTAGTATATATCATTATATTATTGGAGAGTAGTGAACAAGGGTCTTAAGAGCATGTTTCGCTTAGTTGATTTAATGTAGTTGATATTTGATAAGCATTAGGTGTTGAAAAACACTTTTAAGTGCTGAAGCTTATTTATTAAATAATCAGTTACGTGTTTGGATAAAAGTGCTGAAATGATAATAAGCAACTGAAGTATTTGGTAGAAATCTCCTCTAATGTAGGTGCACCTAGTTTGGAATTATTTAGGACTTGAATGAATATAATGTAGGCTTTTAAATAGGGGTAGGATAGAAATATGGGTAATAAGTGATTACGATCTTCCTAAGCACTATAGAATTCAACACTCACCTTCTTTTCTTTTCACAATGTTCACCCTTTGCTTATTTTTCAAACTTTGTCGTCCCTTTATTTCGCAACTCCTTTTTTCTGTGAAGACCTGAAGCACTTGGCTACGAAGGCTGAATTTTTGCTCCTTCAGTTCCTTCTTCAGTTTTGGCCTTTGCTCAATTTTATGCAAGTGTTTGATGCTATTCCATATTTTATGCTCTCACATCAAACCATGGTTAGTCAATTAGTCACAGTAAATGGGGCATAAATCCATCAAAAAGCATAAGAGAAGCTGGTAAAAATACCAATCGCTGCTAGCAATATAAATCACACTACTTTATAGAGAGTTAGAGGATGTCGTTTCATTATTTTGGAAGTGTTTTTTTTTTTTAAATCTAGGGGTTGCAAATTTGGCCAGAAGTCTATAACCCGCCCCAAAATTTAATGGATTGGGTAAAATGTATTTTGCTGGTGGGATGATTTGGGCTATGCCCAAAATAACCCATAAGAAAAGAGTAGCCCAAGTTGATCCGTGAAGATGTCCAAATTGGCCTATGTGATGCCTAAATCAAGATGTGGCTCGCAAGCAGATAATCGACTTCCAAAAATCTATATATCCTATTGCGCTAATTGTATGAGGAACGATTTGTCTCTTGTGAATATCAAGATTTAGTTGATGTGTATTTTTTGATATTTTGGGAAAATAATCTTCAATGCGATAACAATAATTAGTGTTTAATCGTGCTTTGGTGCAAATACTATTGTCATTGGCCCAAAGTAGTTGAATATTAAACTAAAATTTTAAAAGGAGCTTAATGTCAATTTAGTATCTATATCTATCTATTTCTATGTAGTATATATCATTATATTATTGGAGAGTAGTGAACAAGGGTCTTAAGAGCATGTTTCGCTTAGTTGATTTAATGTAGTTGATATTTGATAAGCATTAGGTGTTGAAAAACACTTTTAAGTGCTGAAGCTTATTTATTAAATAATCAGTTACGTGTTTGGATAAAAGTGCTGAAATGATAATAAGCAACTGAAGTATTTGGTAGAAATCTCCTCTAATGTAGGTGCACCTAGTTTGGAATTATTTAGGACTTGAATGAATATAATGTAGGCTTTTAAATAGGGGTAGGATAGAAATATGGGTAATAAGTGATTACGATCTTCCTAAGCACTATAGAATTCAACACTCACCTTCTTTTCTTTTCACAATGTTCACCCTTTGCTTATTTTTCAAACTTTGTCGTCCCTTTATTTCGCAACTCCTTTTTTCTGTGAAGACCTGAAGCACTTGGCTACGAAGGCTGAATTTTTGCTCCTTCAGTTCCTTCTTCAGTTTTGGCCTTTGCTCAATTTTATGCAAGTGTTTGATGCTATTCCATATTTTATGCTCTCACATCAAACCATGGTTAGTCAATTAGTCACAGTAAATGGGGCATAAATCCATCAAAAAGCATAAGAGAAGCTGGTAAAAATACCAATCGCTGCTAGCAATATAAATCACACTACTTTATAGAGAGTTAGAGGATGTCGTTTCATTATTTTGGAAGTGTTTTTTTTTTTTAAATCTAGGGGTTGCAAATTTGGCCAGAAGTCTATAACNCCCCCCCACACACACACACACACAAAAAACCCCAAACCCCAACCCAAAAAAGGGGACAACATCAATGCACTCTGTTGGGATATCTGATTCGGGATCTATATGCATGTCGATGCTATGTGGTAGTTGATGCAGGTATTGGTCATATATTCTTGGTTAAAGAGCCCTAATTTGAGCCAAATCAAAAATTTAAATCTGAACATAGTGAACAGCTACTTATAAGTCAGACCTCTTTTTAGTTGCTAATTTTTTGTCAAACAATCGTATCGGTGTTACTTTAATGTTTTTTGTGATTCTTCAGCTTGTGGTAAATTCATGCCACATGCATGCTTCTCAAACTCTATGCACATTAACGGGCTTCTCGAGTTGAATACAACTAGCATACAATTTTGTTATTCAAATATGTTTCAGATGTCCTCTGGTAATTTTATGCTGAAAATGTAGATAGCTTTGGTACATCTGCACTTGTCAAATATTCAAGTCACTTTTTATTTTTATTTTCAGGCAACAAACCTTATCGGTCAGATGCTCGGTAATGGACGATCACCCCTGTGACTTCTACGCATGACCATATAAAGACCAGGATATCATATGAATTAGCATTATGGTTTTGTTATCGCCACCAAAACCTTGAAATTTTGATGTTTTTCTGAGATTTACAGTAATGTATTTTTGCGGTTGGTAAGCATATAGGTTTTCGTTCCTTTTTTAGGATTAGTTCCAGTGGCTTCCTTCTTTATATGGAAGTATTTTAATTAAAGCTTTGTCATATTGTCCTTCTTAATGTAACTGAAATTTCCTCTTTCCACATTTGTCATTGTTAGACGAATTTCCTATCTAGACTTTCAATTTACCATGGCCTTTCTTGTAAGCGTGGCCCTTATTGATGTTAGTAAAAAATGTTATTCAATCAAGCCATCCTTTAATTCAAATAAAAAATGTGTGGAATTAGTCGAGGTGCATGTAAGTTGGTTCAAAGACAGCCTTGTTGGACAAAGTATTTCATGTTCACGCATGGTCGGGGAAAGGCCGCACCCCAAGGGGTGTAACAATATGTATATATTGGTTCATAGGCAAAATACTAGAACTTTTGTCCAAACTAGAATATACTGGAATTTTTGCGAAGTCTTTTTAATATGTATATATTGTTTATTTTACAAATAGAAACTAAAATATAAGGCTCATTATCTCGTTTCCAGAATTCTTGTTAAGGATGCAAAGAAACCGGCGTTCAAGGTAAGTGCTTTTTTTCTTTTTTCTCTCATTCATATTGTCTTTCAAGGCTTATATATATAATGACTTCAATAAAAATAAATAATCAACTGATTGAATTATCTCACAAGTCACAATTTAATTGAAAGAAAAAATTAGTTCACTATTATTTGAATGATTTAACGATTGGCAATAACAAAAAGTTTTAGAATTGATTAAGTCAATATCGTTTTCAAATATTAGACAACAGAGCTACAGGGAGCCTCTAAGGAGGCGTTTGGTTTATTTTGTCAAATTCATTTATTTTGCCAGCCTTAGTATTTTTTCGATGAAGACAACCTTTTTTCTTAGAGACTTAAGTTTTTTATAGACATTTTTAGGATCCATTTATTAGCTTAAAAGCCAACTAACATTTTGTGTTGAGTTTAATTTTTTAAAGGTAGAGTTCTTTGGTAATAAACTGCAGTTTTGATCAATTGGAAAAAGCAGTGGACAAACTTTTGATAAAAATGTAGTCATTTAATGCCACGCATGATTTTTTTCTTTTGTTGTAATATAATTAACATTCGTAATTTTCAAAAACTTATATCTTTTAAAAATTTTATTTTATGATTTAAACATATTGTTAAATATATATAATATTTATGTTAAATTTTAATTGAATGCTTATTGGTATTGGGTAAATGCACAACACGCATATTCTGGGACTAATTACTGTAAACGTTATCCTAATATGCCTCAATTGCGGCTACATTCTCCGTATTCAAAATCAAACACTATTTTTATATACTGCAAATTCTACACAAATATGATTTTTATCTCTATATTTCAATCAAGACACTTAAAACCCATTATGTACATGATTCAATATGCAGTTAATCATTTAACTTCCCCGGCCCAAATTATCAAAAATAATAATATGTTCGTAGGATCCCCTTCACAAAAGAGAGTAAGTTTTTAACGTTAAAATACAACGAATATATATAATTGAGTCATAATATTATAGGGATGCTAGTGTAATTTACTCGAATTGTTTAATGTTAGAATTCAAATAATGAAGGAGGCATTGTCCTATTTAAGATGTAAAATTGCTAATATTTTAACTTTTATTACAAGATAAAGATTAATTTTCACATTAGAAACACTATAAGTGAGAAGTGCTATGCAATATATCTTATATAATTTATATATATTTTCTAGAATAGTTAGGATTTGCATCATGATGGAATGATACCAGGGTGTTGCATAGTGGTCAGGGAAGTAGGTGAGAACCATGAGGTCTCAGATTCAAATTCCAGTGGAGACAATTACTAGGTGATTTCTTCCCATCTATTCAAGCCTTGGTGGATAGAGTTACCTGGTACCTGTTACTGGTGGGAGGTGGCAGGTATCCCGTGGAATTAATCGAGGTGCGCGCAAGCTGGCCCGGACACTACGGTTATCAAAAAAAAAAAAAAAAAATCATGATGGAATGATGAAAAGGTGAATCTGTGTGCCTTTAATGAGATAAATCGAATCTTGTGCATTTATGATAGTGAGACCAATTCGATAGTAATTAACCTTTGAGTTTTATCCTTGAGTAGACTAAAGACATTGGAGCAAATGACGGTGTCTATAAGAGCTGCATTGTAAGAGAGGCTACGCTACGTGGAACGTCCGTAGATGAAAACACTAGGCCAGACGGCTTAGAACCGCTGCACAAGGATACTGAGTCTTCTTTTGTTATAACCCGCACATATTGATGGAGCCGATGAAAGGAGACTATGCAAAGCTTGTAAAAGGGGAGAGGCGACGGTGATGTTATAGCCTTATCACCATATTTTGGCAAGGTTATGACATCATTGTCGCGTCTTCCTTTTCACACGCTTTGCACGGGCCCATTTTTCGTCCGCTCCACCACCTTGTCTATGTTAAAAAAAAGAAAAGAAAATAAGAACTCTATCCTTCGGTGGCGCTTCTGAGTCATCTGGCCCGGTGCTTCCATCCACAAACGCCCCACGAAGCGTCGCATCTTAAAATGCAGCCTTCATTGACGCCGTCGGATTCTCTAACGTTTTTAGGTTGGTCTATAACATTTGGGCTTGGTACATCAACCGTGCAACCATTTGTCCCGATTTGGCAAGAGACTCATGAAAAAAAAGGAATTTTATTTTTGTATATATATATGAAATTATAAACTTATTTACTCGGTTTTAGTTAGGTTTTTCTATTTACAGAAAGTAACTACAGTTTTTAAAATATATACAAATTCGGTGAAAACTATTAGTATATACAACTTAAATTTAATTTTTTGTTGTACATAATTGGAAAAAAGCTAGAACTTATGTGCAACTTGTATACAATTGTGTTAGTTGTATATATTTTCTACGTCGTTTGTACACGCGACGTATAAAATGTATATACAATTTATTTATGTCTTCTTTTTCGAGTTTCAATATGAAATTCCAACCAAAATAAACTCGAATCTTCACCAAATTCTCTTAAAATTGAGATATAAACTCCAAATAATATTCTCAATTATTTATAACAATACCCAATCCAAATAAATAATACTTTTGCAAAATTCGATTTTTAAATTTAAAGCTTCGAAACTTTTTAAATAGAGTTTATAATGGATTAGCAGGTTTTCAGTTCAATCTGCTTTGGCAGTACATATAACTAGCATTAATTTCCTATAGAAAATCCAAGACCATATTTTCCCAATGAGAAGCACAACCTTTTCGTTTCTTGTACAGGTAGTCCCCTACCCTTTACGACGTTATTTTGAACAGAGGCTGAATAATGAAGACTGGTATTGGTTCGCGAGTTTGATATTGAGATTCTAAAGGGGAAGAAAGCATATTATCACTAATTTGTATATAATTGTTAATTCATATATGAGACTATATATAATTAAGTGATAACCTCTTTACTACAGATAAATAAATTTATAAAATAGTATAGTTGAGAAAAAAAGTCAAAAATAGTGAGTGACCCATCTACAATTATCCGCTTCTAACCCCATTATATTACGATCTTAAAACAAGTTGAACCACATATTACGCAAATGTGGGCTCTTTTCCTCTCAATTTATATTACTTTTTTGGTTTATGGGCAATTGCCAATTGGCATTGAAATTTTGCAACTAGAAACTTGCGTCTCTTTATCTTTTTTTCTTAATTACCAATTATTCTCCCTTCTGAGTATTTATATGTCAACTTATGGTTGGTAGTGGTTGCAAAGTTAGCTTGATAGTGAAAATATCTCATAAACTTTTGAATTTAAGTATGTAAATGATTTTAGATTATTGTAAGTTGTGAAAGTAGTTTAATTGTGTCAAACATGTCGGGATGTTTTAAGATGGAATAGTGTTGTCTAAATTAGGATATAAAGAGTACTACTATCTTTATGTGGTTGAAAAATCTTTGGGATTTTTTCATTCCTATACACTATATGAAATTTTATTACCAAAATTGCTCATGTTTACTTAATTACCCGGACTAAACACATTTTGTCTATAAAATATATACATTTATTTAAACTAAAATCCTTTTTGCAGTAGCCTTCCTTTTTTAGAGGGGGGATTGGGATCGCGTAGGATTCTTCCGAGAATTTTGCGACACAATCATCGCAATTGAATTAAGCCTACTATTATGCTGATTTTCTTAGTTTATCATCGCCGATACTCTGGTTTTCTCTGTCTCCTCTGGTTTCACAACCATAAGCGAAGGTTTTGAAAAATAAATTGCAAACAATTATCTACAATTGTATTGAATTCCGCGACATAATATCCAAAATAGCTATTATGCTTCAGCTAAATGGTAATTGGGATAGCTTTGAGAGATACAAAATTTTTAATATTGACGGAATTGTAGTCAGCGATGATTCAAATTATAGTTAATTGAATTCTGCAATCGCAGAGCATCTAATGATCGATACATCAGAAAAAATTATCGAAATCAAATACATTGTCAATGAACATTGTCCTCCAATGAAAATTCGGAACGATATGGGAGTTCGAGTATACATGGAGAAGAAAAAGGACAACAAAAGCTTAGGAATGTATCCGCTATGTATAACATTGCGTGATTTCGATTTGGAATGCAATATCTCTAATTCGAACACAATTGCAGGTTTGCTCTGTTATTTCAGTGGTGATTTTTTTTTATATTACATGCGTTCTACAATTTTTCTACAATATAGCTACAAAAATACTACATAACAAGTGTAGTTCAACTGTTATGGATATTGAAGTATTGAATTTCACGTGTTCTATAATTTTACTACAAATTATCTACAATGTATGTCTGAACTGTAGTTAGCTTTAATTGAGTGCAGGTTCATCTGGAACACTGAAGTTGATTGATATGCAAACATCTCCGGCAATAGTGGAATATGAAAATATCATCATAACAGAACATATGCCAAATGTTATTGAATTTCGTTTTGGAACATATCTGGAACATATGCCAATGAAGCACTATTCTGTCATGAACAAGTTCCAATAACATTTTTCATATTTTTTTTGTATAGTTTGTAATATTATTGTATACAAATTATATATAATTTATAGTTTTTTTGTATATAAATTATTAAATATAAGATTTTTATGCTTAAACAGCCTATTATTTTGTAGCTACATTTTCATAACATTCTTTAAATTATTTTATTCTGTAGCTA